CGAGCCCCCAAGGTCTGGAACAGCCTGCCACCGGAGGTGGTTCAAGCACCTACATTGAACACCTTCAAGAGCAATCTGGATGCTTATCTTGCTGGGATCCTATGACCCCAGCTGACTTCCTGCCCTTTGGGTAGGGGGCTGGACTCGATGATCTTCCGAGGTCCCTTCCAGCCCTAATGTCTATGAAATCTATGAAATGTATATTGTGGGAGGTGGGGGTGTAGAGGGTAGGTATAGAGCTGTGGGTATGTGGGGTGTGGGTGTGAGGTGAGGGAGCATGTGGGTGTGTGTGTGTGGATATGTGGGGTGTGGGTAGTATGGGGTTTGTGGGGGAGCTGTGTGGGGGAGGGTGGCTGGAGGGTGTGGGGGTCTACGTCTATGGCAGTGCGAGGGGGGGTGTGGGTGCATGTGTATGGTAGGGTGTGCGTGTGGGACTTTCCCTATGAATACACACTCTCTGCCCCTCCCTACACACACTCGCTCGCTCTTGCTCTAGCTGTCTCTCTTGCTCTCTGCTCCTCCCTACAACCTCGCACACCCACCCCTGGGGTACTGGCACAGCCCATGCTCCCACGGTTTGGCCATGTAGCCGGGAACCACATGGTGCTGGAGCAGTGTAGGAGCAGGAAGTCAGGGAAATGGCTGGGGGTTGAGTGGGGTGGGGCTGGGCTGCTCAGTTCTGTTGTCTTACGCTGGGTCCTACTGTCCCTGGCTACTGTCATCTTTGACAGGCAGCCAGAAGCAAATAAATATTAACTTATTCAATTTTGGGGGGGCTGTGTGGGCCAGATAGAATGCCCCAATCTTGGTGGGCCAGATTTGGCCTGCGGGCCAGATTTTGTCCGCCCCTGGATTAGAAATACTTCAGAAATTGCAGTCATCTTTCAGCACTCTCTGCTGCACAAGACTTGCCAACATGACAACAACCATTTTACTATGTTTTACTCTTCCCCATTTTTAAATTTGATTTGGCCTAAAAAGTTGGTCTTGAATATTGATTTGCTGTATCTGTGATGTACGATTGTCTGTGGAATGCTTTGCTATACTTGAATGCACTCAGTGGGCTCCTATACATGTGCAGGGAGCCAGCTTTGACGCGTGTTTATTTCCGCTGGAGCACAGAAATAAACACACTCCAGCATACTCTGCTGTGACATATATTAGTGTCCCTGCGCTGAAAAATGGTGGTGGGGCACTTCAAACTAAACCTTGTTCAATAAGCTTTAGTTCCAAGTGCCCTGCCACCATTTTTCAGCACGGGGGATACTGATGCATGCGACACTCTGGCTCTTTTAATAAAAAGCGCTCACTAGTTAAAGCCCTCCCTTGTACTTCCCAGGGCACATGTAAAAAAGTCTTACCTTCTCGGCCATGTTAAGTGCAGTGTAAGTTCACAGAAGAAAAGGAGCCAGATTTCTTTTATGTATGAATTGCCTTCTGCTAATATTTTTTTAAAAGGTATTTAAAGAAGAGTAACATTCAGTGCTTCTGAGCAAATGTACACTGTTACTTTCCTACTATCCAAGATTAAAATATTTAGTTTCAGCTTGTTGGTGAGTTTACATTCTATTTTATAAAATTATTTCAAACAGAAACAAGATTCAATATTAATTACCTTAAAGCAAAAAGCAGAACTTCATTTTTACTTTTCTTAAAGTATGCTATTGCTATCTTTAGCTAGTTAACAACCATTTTGCTGGCAGGTTTTAGAAAGGTGGTTAAAAAGTAATCAGAGAAATTGCAATATGGTAAAAATTGTAAAGTTTTTATTTTTTAAATCTAATCGATTGTTCTAGCTGTCTTTCTTTATAGGTTCTGCTGGGTAGAGAGGGTGAATTACCTTCCTCAAATTTGTTAATTGATTCCTGCATGCTTAGTATATTATATTGTCGACAAGCTTTCTGTTCCTTAGTGATATCACTGTGCTGTCTCTAGTATGTGTTTTCAGTTAAAATAAAAAGAATTATAGAAAATGCAAAAGAACAAAATGGAGAAATCGGAACAAGTATATGCAAAGTTAAATGTTCATCTGGGTTTACATTCATCCAGGGAGTATCCCCCAAAGTTCCTGATGTTAACAAAATAAACTTATTCCTTGTCAAGTTGCAGATAACTCTGTTGCATGTGGGAAGGAGAAAGTATGGGACTTGGATGATGTCTTTTGGGTGGCTGATTTTTTTTTTTTAGTAGTAACTCAGAAATCAAGTTGTAGTAAAAACAGAATATTATACGCATGCAGTACTATCCCTAACAATAAAAGACTGCTTCAGTAAATTTTTTAAAAGCATGAAGTCAGGTCTGTTGTTTAGCCCCAACCTCTGTATCAGATTTCATGAAAGCTGAAATTTTGGTAGCAAAGAGCCCTTAATGACTGACAAGAAGGTGCAGCTAATAAAAATTGGGCTATATGGGCAGTGTCCAATGTAACTGGAGGTTCAGCGGTAGAGGTCCAGAGCAGTGAAGCAGCCCCCTCAGAAAGAGCAAGGATTTGAGTAGACAGAAGCATCCTTGTAAAGTAAGTAAAGAAATCACTTAAAAGTATTATACTATGTTGTGTTTTTCAGTAATAATGAAGACCTTGGAAGATGTGATCCAGAGCAATATTGGGTTTGTTTAAACTAGATACTGTTTCTATAAGGCAGCTCTAACATCTGCAGCCCTGGTCACATCAAGAAGCAATGAAAGAGCAGCTAAATCTCTAATACTGAAGGATGGCCTGATTGAAGTATCTGCAACTTTTTGCATCCCAAAATGAGATAAAAAAAGCCAATGGATACATATCTAACTACACAAAATTTAATCAGACAACACAAGATCGTTATCCACTTGCCTTGCAAGATACTCTGGATGAATTTTCATGAGTTTAAATATTTCCCCAGTGTTGATCTGTACACCTTCAAGTTTAGTATTTAACCTCTAAGTCAAGGGGCGTGGGGGGAGGAGCAGAGGGGAGGCAGAACTACAGAACTATATCTGCAGCAGTGAATGGATTGCTTAAATTCTGCAGAAAGCCTTTTGGATTTGTAGCATTTCCAAATGATCTAACCTGAGCTTTTGGACTTGGAGACATTCTTGTGTAATATAAGTATCTTCCACAAAATATCAGAAGAATATCCTTGTAGGTATGGAAGGGATTCAAAAGCTGTTTAAGGAGTTGGGATTTAAATTTACAGGAAATTAGTATCAGTTTATCTTGTTATATCACTATCATGGACATGAGGTCAGTGAGGCTGGCTTGGACCCTTAAATCTGTAGAAACAGAATTTTATAAAGGACTAGAAAATTCCTCTGAAGCTCTGGCAAGGTATGTTGTTTTATAGGCCTCTGTAGGTTTGATAGGAAATATGTACAAAATCTTGCAGAGTGGGCAGTGTCACTTTTCTCCTAAATGAGATTCTCTTTAGAGAAAGAGGAACACCAGCAAACATTGAGTTGCCGTAGGAAAGGGAGATAACTATGCTGTGCTAAAATGTTGTCTGTTTATGGTAACATGACATCTCAAAAGTAAGCTAGTTCATACAGATTGGTCTGAAAGGTCCACTAGCAGAAACACAAAACAGAAAAATGGTATTTGTTGGTTGTGCATAACGCCTTCTCAAAGGTGTGATGGCACAAGCACTAAAAGAAAAAAGAGACAGACTGATTACAGCTATACTGATGAAATGTGGTGTTACAGTTTGGTTCCCAAGATGCCTTCGTGGTGGCTAGAGGAGAGAATTTGAATCCTTGCTAACTCATGATTTATGCTGACAACTCCAGGCAAGCAAGGTAAGGACCAGTGTTGTTTAGCTTATGAGGAATGGGGAAATGGAGAAAATGAACTATAGTATTGGTTCCATGCTTCATCTTAATTGGTGAAGACAACCATCTGGGAATACAAAGACCTGTTTTGTCATTTTTGCATATAGCCGTGGTTCTCGGCCTTTTTGTCACACAGGCTTGATGGGCAGGACTCAGTTTGTCTGCAAGTCATATCTGGCTAGTGGGTCCAATGTGCAGGCAGAAGGGGTGTGGGCCAGCCTCAGTTTGGCTGTGTGGGGTGGGTGCCAGTGTTAATTGCCACTGCTACCCCACTGCCAAATTTCAGTTTCATAATTGGTAGGGTCGGAAGGGACCTGAGCAGATCATCAAGTCCGACCCCCTGCCATAGCAGGAAAGAGTACTGGGGTCAAACGACCCTGGCAAAGTGTTCATCTAGTCTCCTCTTAAAGACCCCCAGGGTAGGAGCCAGCACCACTTCTCTTGGAAGTTGGTTCCAGATCCTAGCCACCCTGACAGTGAAGTAGCGCCTCCTGATATCTAACCTAAATCTGCCCTCTGCCAGCTTGTGACCGTTATTTCTTGTCACTCATGGTAGTGCTTGGGGGAACAGGGACTCGCCCAATGCCTGCTGGTCCCCCCTGACCAGTTTGTAAATGGCCACTAGATCCCCCCTCATCCTTCTCTTGTGGAGGCTGAACAGGTTCAGGTCCCTTAACTTCTCCTTGTAGGGCCTGCCCTGCTGACTCCTGATCATGTGGGTGGCCCTCCTCTGGACCCTCTCCATGTTGTCCATATCCCTCCTGAAGTGCAGCGCCCAGAACTGGATGCAGTACTCCAACTGAGGCCTGACCAGTGTTGCATAGAGGGGTAGGACCACCTCCTTGGACCTGCTTGAGATGCATGTGTGGATGCACGACAAGGTACAGTTGGCCTTCCTGACCGTTTCCCCACACTGTCGGCCCATGTTCATTTTGGCATCAATAATGACTCCAAGATCCTTTTCTGCCTCTGCACTGATGAGAAGGGAGTTCCCCAGCCTGTAGGTATGCTGCTGGTTCTTCCTCCCCAGATGCAGTGGCTTGCACTTGTCAGTGTTGAAACCCATCCTGTTCTCATCTGCCCACCCCTGTAACCTGTCTAGGTCCAACTGCAGCCTATTCCTCCCTTCTAGTGTGCCCACTTCTCCCCACATCTTAGTGTCATCTGCAAATTTGAACAGGGTGCTTTTTACATCCTCGTCCAAGTCGCTGATGAAGATGTTGAACAATGCAGGCCTGAGGACTGAGCCCTGCGGAACCCCACTGCCCACATCCCTCCAGGTCGAATAAGACCCATCCACTGCCACTCTCTGGGTGCGGCCCTCCAGCCAACTATTGACCCATTTGACTGTGTAGGTGTCGATGCCACAGTCCCCTAGTCCTCTGACCCAGTGCCACTCGTTGAGGATGTGTATTTCTCCTTGACGTAGAGCGCCACACCCCCACCTCTCCTCCCTGTCCTATCCCTCCTGTACAGCCTATAGCCCTTGATATTCACCGCCCAGTCGTGCATTGGGTCCCACCACGTTTTGGTGAGCCCCACTATGTCTGGGTTGGTGTTAGCTAGCAGGAGGGTGAGTTCCTCCTGCTTGTTCCCCATTTCCTCATCTGTGGGGAGTTCCGCAGACCAGATGCTGTTGCTCCAGATTTGGCCCATAGACCTGGGGTTGGGCACCAGTTGGCAGTTGCTTTTTTGTTACTATCTCTATGAGGTACTGATTTGGACTCTGAAAACCCATGCTTCCCTGTAATCTAAAAGTTGAGGCAATAAGAACTGGCAAGACTCTTTTTTCTTAATCAAGGAAGGTAATGTGCTTGCCTTATCAATATTCCAAAAAGATGGAAGAACAGATGAGTTGTAAGTTAGCATGCCAGGCACAGAATGTCAGGGGAAAAAATAATTGTTTCCATCCAGGAAAGACAGTGTGTGGAAAAACCATGAGAGTGGAAAAAAACAGCCGAACGGGAGACCTTGCACAGTAATTGAGAACCAGCAACAATTTATCCTTGATGATACAAAAGCAAGGGCTTATCCTTCACAATTCATTGAGAACTGATGCATAGATTCATTGAAATAAATGGTAAATAGAATACTAAACAGTAATGACATCCTAGAGCCATGGGAACACCTATCAGGTGCTTGTAGCTTACAGGTAACCCCCACTTAGCGCTCTTAATTGGTTCCGGAAAAACTGAGCACTAAGCAGAATTGCGCTAAGAAAAACCCACTTCCCCATAGAAATCAATGTAAATAAATATAGTTAGTTCTGCCACTTCTCGCCACCGTTGCCACTCCTTGCCCATCCGCCAGCCACTTCAGCACCACGTGCCGGCCCAGACCCTCTGCTCCTGCCACCCTCCCCTGGGCCCCTGCCAGCTGCCACTCACCACTTCACTCGATGCCACCACTTCTCCCCATCCCTGCACTCAGGGTTATAATAAAAGGTGCTGAGTGCTAAGTGGAATCAGGTTGGTATTTAAAATGAGTGCTGTAGTGAAATAGCACTAACCAAAACTGCATTAGGCAGGGGTTGCCTGTATAAGGAAATACCAATTGTAGAGGAAGAAATGCTGAGATATACTCAGGATCTCAGTACATTGCAGTTTTTAACAGCCTGTTCCAAGGAAGTAGGCTTAATTTGGATGGTGTGGTAGGTGCCTGTTTTATAGACCATCAGGCCAGGAGGATAAGGTGGATGAGGCTTTCTTCAGATAGCTAGCAGAAGTTTTCCAATTACAGGCCCTGGTCCTCATGGAGGACTTCAGCAGATGTCAGGGTGACCGGGAGGGCAATACAGCAGTGCACGAACAATCCAGGAAGCTCTTGGAGAGTGGAGATAATTTCCTGGTACAGGTGTTGGAGAGGCCAACTAGGGGCTCTTCTTGACCTGCTGTTTACAGGGAAGAATTGGAGGGGAATATAGAAGAGGACAGGAACTTGGGCAGCAGCAACCACAAGATGATTGAGTTCAGAATCCTGACAAAAAGAAGGAAGGAGATCAGCAGAGTATGGACCCTGGACTTCAGAAAACTGGACTTGGACTTCCTTAGAAAACTGATGGGCAGGATCCCCAAGGAGGCCAGTCTGTGGGGGAAAGGAGTCAAGGAGAGCTGGTTGTATTTTAAAGAAACCTTACTGAGGCATGAACCATTCCAATGTGCAGGAAGACCAGCAAGTATGGCAGAAGAGCAGCTTGATTTAGCAGGGAATGCTTCAGTGAGCTTACACACAAAGAGGAAGCTTACAAGTAGTGGAAACTTGGCTAAACAACTAGGGAGGAATATAATAGTATTGTTCAGGCATGCAGGGAGGAAGTTGGGAAGGCCAAAGTGCAATTGGAGTTGCAGCTAGGAAAGGATGTAAAGGGTAACAAGAAGGGTTTCTATAAGTATGTCAGCAACAAGAGGAAGATCGGGGGAAGTGTGAGTCCTTTACTGAATGGGAGAGGCAACCTAGTGACAGATGATGAAGAAAAAGCTGAAGTATTCAATGCCTTTTTTACCTCAGTCTCCACAGGCAAGGTCATCTCCCAGAATACTGCACCTGGCAGCACAGTTTGGGGAGGAGGTGAGCAGCCCTCTGTGGTGAAAGAGCAGGTTAGGGACTATTTACAAAAGCTGGATGTGTACAAGTCCATGGGGCTGGATGCAGTGCATTTGAAGGTGCTGAGGAAGTTGGACAATGTGATTGCAGAGCTGCTGGCCATTGTCTTTGAAAACTTGTGGAGATTGGGGGAGGTCCTGGATGATTGGAAGAGGGCAAATAATAGTTCATTAAAGAAGGGAAGAAGGAGGATCCAGGGAACTACAGACCAGTCAACCTCACCTCAGTCCTTAGAAAAATTGTGAAGCAGGTCCTCAAAGACTCCATTTTTAAGTACTTGGAGGAGAAGGTGATTAGGACCAGTCAGTAGGCCTGTGCAAAGCGGCTAGTATTTGCTTCAGATTTGGATTCAGCCAATTTGGGGGACAGTGATTTGATTTGGTGATTCGAATCACTGTCCCAAAACAATTCAGCTGAATCTGATTCAGAGATTTGACCACCGCTGAATCTCTGAATCAAACAGGCCCCATCGCCCGCCTCCTCTCCCAGCCATGCCAATGGTGGTCCCGCCTGGCCTCAGTGTCCTGGCACTTTAAAAAGAAAAAGCCCCGCACTCACCGGCTCCTGCCAGGTTGAGGGGCGATCCCCATTGCCTCATGCTGCATGGGGGGCTCTGCTACAAGCCCCCAAAAGTCCTGATGGCCACTGCAGCAGCCGGTGAGTGTGGGTTTTTTGTTTTTTTTATGGGGCCTGGTCGGGGACCCCCATGGTCCCCTCCCCCTCTTCCTCCCTACTTACCAGCAGAGTCCAGGTCCACCTTCATGTGGCGGTGAGCAAGGACTGCCCGAATTCCCAAATCTCTCTGAAGCTCTCTGAATCTTTTCTGAATTGAGAGTGTTCTCAGTGGTGACAGATGACAAAATAAGGAGCAATGGTCTCCCATTGCATCAAGGGAAGTTTAGGTTAAATATTAGAAAAATCTTTCTCACTAGGAGGGTAGTTAAGCTCCTGAACAGGTTACCCAGAGAGGTTGTGGAGTCTCTATCTTTGGAGGTTTTTAAGACCTGGGTAGACAAAGCCTTGGGTGGGATGAGCTAGGTGGGGATGGTTCTGCTTTGAGTAGGGGGTTGGTTGGACTAGATGATCTCCTGATGTCCCTTCCAACTCTCATTTCCTATTATTCTATGGCATAATCACTATATTTGCTAATATTCTTTGCTCTAAGTATGAGTAATGTCTCCCTGATTAAATACAGGACTTGAGTATGAAGGTCATCTATCCTGTGCAGATGGCCGACCACCTGGATTCCTAATAGTCAAAAAGAAAATACTGTATTTTCATGCATACCACATACTCCCAGATAAGACATGTACCTTATTTTTTTGGAGGGCAGAACCAAAAAAAAAAAAAAGATTTTCCCGGAA